AATATTCAAGAAAGCATACTTCAAAAGCAGAGAAAGTGAATTCAAATGCAGTAGAAGGACGGAAAAACAATTTAGAGCAGAAAGACATGAAAAACAAAGGACTATGCCATGACAACTAAGGTGGAACCTGAACAAATAAGCAGCACAAACAGAATCTGGACCCAGTCAGAATGGAGGAAACCTGCTGAGTAGGAGAGAAACACGGGAGAAGCACCGCAGGAGAGGGCACAGGCCCTGAGAGGGAGAATGCAGCCCCGGGAGGGTGGGGGTCACAGGGCAAAATCCCAGAAAATCTGTGCGGTCAGGGCAGAGTCAGAGGGAAGAGAAACCTGAATGGCCAGTTGTAAGCAGAATACTGGGACGTGTCAGTTACCCCCAATGAAACATGAGCCCGGTGGAGGGGCCAGTGACACACACACCTCCAGGGATCCTGGTGGTCACAGCCGCTCTCTCTGAGGAGCCGGCAGGAAGCTGCTGACAAGGACAGACGGAGGCCAGCGGGTCCCGAGGGGTCGCAGACAGGAGGAGCACAGGAGAAAGAGCAGAGCAACACCCTGCTGAGCACAGACGCAGAAATCCCCGAGCCCCAGCACACGGAGTGGGGCCTCCGGGACACCATGGGGACAGATGGACCCGACAGGACGTCCAGGGCCGCACGGCCAGGTCCTGCTGGGGACAGGACGGACCCATAGCTGACAGGAGAGTGACGCCGTCGGAAGAGCCAATGTGGGGTGACACAGAGAACCCGGAGGCCAGCGGGAGGCCAGCGGGAGGCCAGAGACGGGTCGGGGTGGGGAGGGCAGGTCACGCCCGTGTCGCGGGTGATGAAGGGCCACTGGGTCTGCTCGGTTATCGGGTCCATCGACTGCTTGTGAATTTCATGCTGTGACTGTTCCAGTGCAGACTTCCGTGGGTCTTCAGGCACTTTCCGTGCAGATTGTCCCGTCAGCGGTGGACAAGTCAGTTTTCCTTCTGGGTCCCAATCCTTTCCCATCCCTTGATTGTTTCGTTTCCTCAGCTCTCATCAGGCGGTTCTGAAAATGAAGGACAAAAAGGGACAGAGCTGCTTCCCCTGAGGGGACGTTGTGTTTCGTCA